GTTTGAAGATGGCGATAAAAGGCATAAAGGGGATAAAGGGAAATGGAGCGGCATGATAGTACGGAATACGACCGGATCGATTCCAATAAATAACGCAAGAAGCGAAGGATAATACACGAATACAAGGTGCAGGAAAATTCCTGCGACTAATTAATGGCTATCTTACGGGATCGTGTTATACCAATTTAATATACGAATTACGATTTACGTTCAGAGCCGGTTAATCGAGATCGATTCTAAATAGTCGTTCTTTTAACATTTTTCAGAAGTTTGTATTCTTAGTATATTGACATACGACATAAAAAGAAGGAAAGAAGTATTTATGTTTCAATGAATCTTATGATCTTTCCTCGATCGAGTTATATACGTAATAAAATCTGCTTTTCTTCCGATTTTTGTCTTTGGTCATTTTTGAGCATTTTTTTATCTTAAGTTTGTAAATATTGCTTCTGATATAATTACTGTAATTTCATTATAGCTTAGTGTTAATTTCGTACAGCTGTAAAACGATATCATAAAAATTCTGTTGAATTTTATTCGAAATAAATTCACTCAAACAATAAAGCGCGGGATTTCCAACCGAAGAGCAGACGATCAATCGTCTCGGTGGAATTAAGAAGAATACATAGATTCAACAACAAGCTGCACAATAAACGATCTAATTATCTACTCGTCGATCCTCGATGACCGCTTCCCTTCGAGAGCAAGTCATTCACACCGACCTTCCAGAGGCTCTCCAGCACGATTCGCGAGATTATTGAACCTGAATCGGCGAAGAAAACGAGATTACGGACATCGTAGCCTTGACCAAACGCGTAAATCTTCTATGTACGTACTTGTGAATGAACGAACGAACGAAACGTGTGATTCAATTCAAGATAAACTATAAGTCAAAATTGTAAAGATCAAAGATACAAAATAAGTTTGTATTTCGTGTTTTTAGTTGGATATTTTCATTCTTAATCTATCAGCCCATTAAGGATCAACGAACTGCTATCGTATTACGTACTATAAATACTTTAATTTGAAACTTTTACTCTTCTTGGAACATCGATGGAAAGAAATTCCTTTCCACACCCACAAGGTGGTATTATCATAAAGCTATCGTCAAATGGATCTATTTAACCAATTTAGAAGTTTCTCTAATAAAAGTGTTCTACTTTTGGAGTATCGTTTATTTTTCGAATGAATCGCAGAGAAAATAAACTACAAAGAAGAATGAATGAATTCTTCATGATGATGTAAACATTGAAAGCAACTTGTTTTTTGAGATTGGAAAATTCATAGCAAACTATAGCAAGATCTATGGTTCGTAATACTAGATTGCTGCATAGATTCTACTTCATATATGTAAACTATCGATGTTACGATAAATGCAATATTCCTGTGTATGTCGATTAATCTGCAAAATCCAAAGATTTAGAAATTAACATCTGATTCAACAGCTAGATATAGAGAGGCCAAGTATATCAATTCATTTCTCACGTCGTTATTTATCAAAGAAATATTGCAAATGATCTTTCTTCTTCTTTGTCCGAATCGTCTCGAGGAAAATATAAAATAATCGTCATTGATATACGTGATTAATCATTTTAGTCGCGAGTTAAACATAGTCTTAAAAGATCTTTTCGTTTATCGAGATAAGAGCTAGAACGAAACATAACAATTCGAGCATCTCAGCAGGATCAGATTACGATTAAAGGAAACTGGTTGGCAATCTCGAAACACCGTTTGAGAACCACGGGTCGCACTGAGAGGAACTGATTAAGAGGTATTATTTTGCATCGCTATCGAGCAACTATGCACGCTTAAGGGTCAGAGCAGGCCATCTTAAGCCGCAGATAAATGGAAAAAATAAGGCGAGCATACGCGAAGGGAGCGAAAGGTCGGATTACTCGAGTCCGTTCGAAGAATCCGTTTCGAAAGCAGACGTTTCGTGTTCTGATGATCGAACATCACGTAACGATGGAATAAAGTTGGACCGATACGTAGGTAGAAACACATTTTCAGATTAATTACCGGAAGAAAATATACAATTCAAAGCCAGTAAATCAACAATGTTGTAGAACTAATTTTTTCTCTTATCCATGAATTATTTCTTATTTTTTATTTTATCTACAATTTCTAAATATAAACTTTTATATAGATTTACAATAAATCTTGACAAAGATTCATTTTTCTATTTATATATGGTCTGTTCTTTCGTTTTCTTTTAATTTTTTTTTTTTTCGTTTTTGGAGGTTTTCTATAACAAAGAGCAAATCAGAACTAGCTTCAGTTACAGACAGATATATACCTTTCGTACTGTACTAATAATAATATTATAGTATAATATATAGTAATATCGAAGCCAAGGTCTTTTCGATATTCCTATGAATAAATCAATAGACGTTAAGAATAACATAAATGTTATACAACAGAGAATATAATATGAATAGGGGTTATTAATGTTATCTGTCTGCAACATGACATTTCAACGACACACTCATTTTAGATATTTTTTGAACCTTCTTTTACAGTAAAAAGCGATGACGACGTAAAAGCAATGGAAATGCGAATGAATTTTTCAAGAAGAAAAAGAAAGCGGATTATGTAATTGACTGTCCGTTGCGGTAATATATTTCATTATTGCAACATTTATCTATTTAATTTGATGGTTCATTCGATTCTACTTTCTTTGCTAATTAGAAAAGTTCGCTTTGATCTTCGTCAGTGAAATTACCTTTTCCAATAAATTGCCAATAGAGTATCTTGTTAAAATGATGATCAGCTCCTAACAAGAAATTTATAAATACTTCAAGCACAATATTCTACTACAATTTTATATGCATAATTTACCATCTTCTTATTAAAAATTTCACAATTTATACATATCTAGTGTACTTTGGGGAATATTACTCTCAGAAATACAATTTAGATACTATAAAATATTTACAGGAATGAAGAATCATTGAAATAATGTTTATTGAACGATTTAGACGCAAACAGGTCATGTATATCCAGAGGAAAGTGAAATCAAAATGTAAATATTGTAAGAAGCCAAACATCGAATTGAGAGTTAACCTTTCGCGATCTTGTTAATTAATCGCGTCCGATTAATTCCGATATCGTTCGTTTTTCCCCGAGAAAGCAAAATATCAATTACTTGCGATATTGTACATAAATACATACCATTTAAATTTGAAATAATGTGACACCATAAGTTTATTTAAGAATTACAAAATCACGTGTTATAAAATTTATCTTTTTTTTTTTTTTTTTAGTACAATACAAGTAAGAAATTGTAAAAGAAATCCTTCGCAGCTGTACTTCCTGTTCGGCTACAAGAAATAATAATAAAAAGCGTCATTGATCGTGAACCACAAGCATCGTTACAGATAAAGACCTCTTGTTAGATTATTTTCATCTGGATAACGCGTGGAACTTCAGAAAGAAATTATCAACGCTAACGCAAGAGTAGAAAGAGACAGGTATAAAATTTATTTTTTTTTTTTTTTTTTTTAGTACAATACAAGTAAGAAATTGTAAAAGAAATCCTTCGCAGCTGTACTTCCTGTTCGGCTACAAGAAATAATAATAAAAAGCGTCATTGATCGTGAACCACAAGCATCGTTACAGATAAAGACCTCTTGTTAGATTATTTTCATCTGGATAACGCGTGGAACTTCAGAAAGAAATTATCAACGCTAACGCAAGAGTAGAAAGAGACAGGAGTAATATCGCAATGGTAAATTTTAACACGTGTTTTTTATTTGCTTAATATGCGAGGAAAAAATTCCATCAATTACTATTACACGACGATATCTCTCAAACGAGAAAGAGAAGTTACGTAAATAGCAAAATATGGATGTATTTGAAACGACATAGTAGAAAAATATAAATATTTTATCAACTAATATTTTCAACAACAAAGGAAGCGTATGGTTTCAAATGTATTTACAAATAAAGAAAACAGAAATTTCTCCGATGATCTTTGTTTGCCGATAAAGAAGGAACGAGCGATGTAACTCTATAATTTATACAATTTTTCAATCTATTTTTGGAAATCACTCGGTACACACTTCCTCGAATCTCGATCGGTAAACATTGAAACATGCAAACGCACAAAAATAATGGCCTTATATCGAAGAAATATGGTCGATCGTGATAAACGTACAAAGTACGGATAGTCGATGATTCGATACAAACACCAACGGACAAATCGTTTAAGTCGATATTAACATGTATGTAATATTGTGATGGAAGAACAATCAAACTCGACAGTGATACACAACTATACGAACCTGTTCTTTTTATCGACAGTACCAAAGTTTGAATACATGGCTCGATGTATACCGGTTAATTTAAAAAATAATTTTTTCTCCGTGATACGATTTATTATAATTGCTAATTTAGTATAGATGATATAGCACTTTTTAAATCATGCGAAATAAATCAAACGTACAAAAAGATATAAGAAACGAATGAAGAAATTTTAAACACATAACCGCTTCTAACACCTCTTCCTAATATTACTTTTTAAGACATTACATCTCGTATTTTTTCTCGAACTTTGTTTCACTCGTTTCCCATAACCACCGAAATGTACATTGTATATATTAAACCATGATTCATCAAAATATTACGTTATACGCACGTTATCGCAATCTCGTGGTTCACTCAAGCGACGAAACTATCCGTTTCGGTGCGTTCAATAATCCGGTAAGCAATATCGATCCAACGTTACGTCGTTGTGATATGAAAGGCAACAAACGGATACGACGAGTAAAAGACGAAGATGAAACGTGGTATGCATGTATGTACGTTTGCTTATGGAACAAGCCGAAGAAAAGATTAGAATACGGTAGAAATGTTCAATTCCCGTGTAAAATAAACTGGTCGCGAATCTCGTGCACGTTCTCGTGTCCAAAATGGCTGGTCGCTAAAATTAGCGTCGGAAGTATACGAAACGATACCAGATAGAACATCGGCGATCGCTACTATACCATGTTTCCACTCACCTTGACGTCGCAGAAAAGTCATATAAAATGGTATCGCCCTGCTGGACGGCCGCCTTCTAGCGTGAAAATTGAACGGGTGTTCGTAGGTGTATCGACACAGATGGATCGCCCTGTCGGGTGTACCCCAGTGTCTCGTTTTACGTCTTTCAACGATGTCGCCTACGAAAGTCGGTCGTTGAAACGGTCAGTCGCGTAGACGTGACACCGTGATAATACTTCTGCGTACTCTCTATCCCTTTTCCTGTTCGATGACAAGTATCCCTGTTGTCAAATGGCTATTTGCTTGACGATTCTTTGTAAAGAATTGCGTGCTGTGAGTAACTTTATCGCTTGAGACGTGCACACGAAACGTTCCGGCTTCTGAGACGGCTACTATCTGAATACAACTGCAAACGAAACGATCCTCGAAACCAGGGCCGTAAACGTCAGTCGTGAATCCCCGCGACTGATATTTGTGCCACTACCTAATCTTTTTCACCAACGAGTCCAGTCAGGAGAGGTAAATAAAACCATATGATCTAGGGAAAACGGAATTGAATTCATAATCGAGGTCGTATAAGCTATGGTTTGAACGATGAATGATACAAATGATAAAAACTAAAAGATGATTTTTTTAAATGAACACGTATATTCTTTATTGAATAGAGCTTTAAACGTTGTAAATGTTATAAGAAAATTTAAAATAATTAAACCAATATTGCAACTGTTCAATTGTAAAATACGGAGTGTGGCAGATCACGTGATACTAAACTAAAGTAAATTAAACTAAATGGAAAATATAGAATACAATTAGTTCGTTTTCAAAAAATCCGCATTTAAAACTTCATCGAATATGCGTGTAGCGCACTAATTTTTGATTGAACATTTTCCAACTCAAATTTTTCAGGAAGGAAACCGAGAAAGCTTCTGTACACTGTTTACTGATCTTCACATATAAAATAATCTTCTGTTTGGTTGTACATGCCTGGTTGTAATAAAGTAAAATAAAACGTTATTTTTTCGAACATTAATTTCCGAAATTGGAAAATCGAATACATTTGTCCATATTGAGCTATACTGAGCAAATACTTCCGTTACGATGTATCAAGCAAATATATTACATTTAACAGGTCAGTTTAAATATTTTCTCCAATAATATAAAGCTGTCCCCGAAGATTATAATTTGCTAACGACTAATTAGCCAATAGTTGGAATACCACGTGACTAGTTGTATTTTGTATTTACTCTCACTTTGACTTTCAGGTGAGATGATACACAATTGTTTTGAATATATATCTATATATTGCGAAGAATTCGAATCTAATCATGCTTTTATATTTGAAAGATTTTGAAAGTCTCGATAAGTCTTTAATCTTGAATCTTTAAAGTTTCGATATGTGTTAAAAATCTTGATAAATCTAATAATCTTAATCCATTCAATATCTTGTATCTACAATCTACAATCTCTTTATTATATCCTACTTTTAATACTTTTAAGATTTGCTACATACAAGTCTTTTAAGACTTACATGATTTTCAAGACTTTTAAGAGTTTTAAATATTGAATTGTATTCAAAGTGATATGAATTTTTGTAGCATTAAATCGCTCAAAATTAAGATTGAAACCATCACTATTTCTACTTTTTTTAATACATATTTGTTTTTTATTTAATCCCCATGTGACATCGCACATTATCATTATCAAAGATGCAACAAAAATTTCGTGGTTTCATTTCTCATTCGATTCCTTAATTATTTTGATAAGAGATTCGTTGATGTTTGTCACTGAAATATTATCTTAACATACAACGATGTAAAAATTTATTCACTATATGAATACAATTGAAAAAAACTTTTGTTTGCTTATATGAGTATAAAAAATAACCCAATCCGGATTGATTTAAAGAAACAATAACAATGCAGTAATCTTGTTTAATCATAAATTAGAATGTATGCTTATAACCGATACGATATTAATATAAATTAATTAATATAAAGCCATGTGAATAAACAAGTATACATTTAACAGATATTTTTAGTATTAAATTTTAATTTTTCAGTCACAATTAAAAACTTATTAATAACAAACTTATTGGTGACTTTTTTGATGTTGTAGCTATAATTATAATGCTTAGTTCTTTCACAAGTACATATTTTACAAGATCGTCGTCAAAATCAAGTATACGACTTATTGATAATTTATCAAGAAATTTTCTTATCTTACAAGTACAGAAGTAAATATATGTATGCTTCAGAATATACTGATGCAATGTTATATGTTTCGATATTAGTAATTGTGTTGATTACCAACATAACCTCAATTTTGGTGGAAAAAGTAATTGTGCACGTGATGCGTCTTGGACTTCTTGTTATAGACCAACAAGATATAACTACTAGTATTTGTAGTATTGATTAACATAATGAATAAACTGCAGTAAATGTTATAATATAATTAATATTTAACAACGAAATCTTTGACGCTTAAGAATAGTAAATTTATAAAGTTGTTGGCTGTTGTTAATATTTGGTTTGTTAAAAGCTATTAACAAAAATGACTTCGCCGTTTACTTGCATCACATGCCGAGTAGCATTCAGAGATTTAGATATACAGAGACAACACTACAAATCAGACTGGCACAGATACAATTTAAAAAGAAAAGTAGCTGAACTACCCCCTGCATCTGTGGAAGAATTTCAGAAAAGAGTGATTACACAAAGGACCAAAGATTACAAAGAAAAGGAAGAAGGAACAATAAGTTGTAAAATATGTAAGAAGAATTTCAACACAAGAAATCAATATGAAAATCATTTATTATCAAAAAAACACAAGGAAAAGTGTGCAAAACAAAATGTTCCTTTTGAAACTGAAAATGAAGATCTTGAAAATAACGCTGGTCCATCGTTTGGTTCTGTAATTAAGAAAAATGTGCAAGGGGAAGTTTCTGTAAGAACAACTGAAGATATGGAAGTAGATTCTGATATCGAATCTATAAATTCTGACGAATGGATGGAAGATACTGAAAATCCAGTTACAAATAACAATTGTTTATTTTGCAATCATCATAGTAGGTCATTGGTGCGCAATCTAAAACACATGACGATTGCACATTCGTTCTTCGTACCAGATCCTGAATATTGCACAGACATTAAAGGTTTACTTGTGTATCTTGGAAAAAAAATTGTTGCTGGATACATGTGCATTTGGTGTAATGATTCTGGTAAGTTAATTTAAATTTGTATTTTTATAATTATAAAGAAATTGGCAAACTAATTGTATTTGTTCATAATAAATTAACAGGAAGATGTTTTCAAAGCGTTGAGGCTGCTAGGGCACATATGATAGATAAAGGTCATTGTAAAATGTTGCACGAAGGAGATGCATTAGCAGAATATGCAGAATTTTATGATTATTCATCCAGCTATCCTGATGCAGAAATTGGTGATCCAGATGCAGAAGTTGAAATACCAGAATTAGATGATAGCGATTACCAGCTAGTATTACCATCAGGAAGTATTATTGGCCATAGATCTCTGTTCATGTACTATAAACAAAACTTAAATCCAAATAGGGCAGTATCAAAGAGTGAAAAACTGCGTAAAATACTGTCACAATATAGAGCTTTAGGATGGTCAGAAACACAAAAAGAGGCAGTTGTAAAGAAAGTGAGAGATATCAAATATATGGAAAGAGTACAAGCAAAATATTCTACACAATTGCAATTTAAGGCAAATAAGCTGCAAAAACATTTTAGACCTCAAGTGAACTTTTAAGCTTTTCTGTTACATGTATAAATGTTCCTGTAAGACTGTATTCATTTTTAAACTATGTAAGTTTTATGGAAAATTTAATTGTTGCTGCTAAATATGCCGCACTGCATACTTATACATTCATTATTAATATAAAATTGCCTATATAGTTGAAAAATTCGTATTTAATATAGCTTGAAGTTATTTGAAAGGATTATTAGACATTGGTCATTATGAAGTGTAATGTTTATTTGGCGGATACTTTTACAAAATAATTTACAATATATTTTCGCAACATGTAACACCAATAAAAATAATACTTCTCGTGACTTTATTCTATATTCACGTGGACCCATTCAGTTATTCCTGTAATCATTAGCTAAATTACCGTTTTCGATCAATTTTTAGACACGGATCAAGAAATATTCCATGTTCTGTTAGTTTCTCATGATAGCTGCAAAAAAATGACTGCACAATCGAAGACTTCAAACATTTCGATACTATGTACGTATAATATACTTTCAATTTACCATCAGTGAACTGTAGAATTGTAAAAGAGAGTTAACAATTGTTAAACTATCACATTCTTGACATAGGGTTTCTATTATGATACTATCGTTGATATACATTCGCATTTCTTTGCGGTACACGGATACACGAATTTCTTTTCATATATCTTTTACTATGCAAAGCAGAGCGATTCGTTTTATTCTGAATTAGCAGAATGCAGAACAGTGGTCCAAAAAAGGAAATGTTAAATGGATCTTTTCATTCTTGTATTTGTCAACTCAAATATTATCGTAATATTATTACTTAATATTATCTTTTTTTTCCGTCTTAATAATGGCACACCATTCAGAACACCGACAAAGGGCAGTAACCGATGCCTCAAATTATTAATATTTTTTAAGAAAGGCATACGGTTCGCCCTGTTTATAGATATATTTCATAAATGCATCTTTAAGACAAACATACATTAGAGACCTGTTATTGTCACACAACGATACACATAGTTTACACTACTGCTCTTTCGTAAAATCTTTTTCTGATTATTAAAGATTTCTCAAGATTAACGTTAACTCTCATTTTGTTTTCTATTAGACTTTCAATTTTTAATCCAACACCTTCACCAACAACTTTAAAGCTTGGTGGGGAGGGGCCGGTCTGATTGATTCATCGAGATCCCCGTACAGAATCGTCGCCTCTACTTCAAGACCATGCTTGTAGCATACCTTCTGCGAATACATTCCCGTTGCATCAACTTTAAACACCTGTAAACATACAACAATTTCAACACTATATTTGTGGGATATCTTTGAGTGCACACAGACATTTACATACACTTCGTACGAAGTACACTGCGTGCAAAAATACCTCTCGAGAAAGTAACGAGTGCATTGCAATTTTACATCTTGGTAAACGAAAATCATCCCATGCATATTAATCGAAGAACATGCTGAAACAAAAGTAAAATGTGAACTTCTTACCAAAACGACCACGCCTCCACGCACGATCGTGTTGCACATATATATACACGAATAAATACATTGAATCTACTCTTTAACAAATTTGTAACTTTGCGTAAATTTCTTCATGTTATTTTACGATATTAGATTTAATAAATAATTTGTTTGTCATTTACATAAAAAAGCATTACTCAGTACATAAATATTAGCAAATTATAATTCAAATATGATGGATTGCCATAAAATTAATACAAGCTTCCGGCAGGGAATGGTAAAGGTCACGGAGTATACAATAGTACGGCTCTAAAGAAATTTTTCACCGAAC